TAACAATTCCACGTTCTGCACCACAAGTTATCCCCCGTAAGATTTTGTAAGTCAATATCAATATTTGGCAATACTTTAAAAAAAGAAGAAAAAAACAACAGGCTCACAAAAAAAAAAACCAATTGATTGCATGATAAATATCTTATTCCAATGAAATCTCCCCTCCATACAGAGCCAAAATAAACATGATTGCAAATCCAAAGATCATGCCAAAATTCTGAAGAGCAAAAGTCTTGAGATTCTTGCGAATGGAATTTTGACCAATCTTGACAGACATCTCAGAGGCTTCCTCCAACTGTTGAAAATGATGGGCATAATAAATATTTAGTTAACACTTGTTAGTACTTACTGGCATTACATATCATCAATTCATACTTATCAAAATTGCTAGTAAAATAACATTTATTACTTTGGTTTTAACATCGCCAATCCAGACTCAAATTTCAAATTTATTTATTTGCCTTTTTACCTTGTATATTGACAATTTATTAATAGTTCAATGTATGGCGAAGTGACCGCATCCCGGTTAGCTCAATGGATAGAGCGCTGGACTGTTGTGCGGGAGCTCGAGGGTTCGAGCCCCAGCCGGACCAACATTCAGGGTCTCAAAATAATTGAGAAGAATTTGCTACCTTTCTATGACATCAAGAAATGGTTAGATATTTTAGTCTTCTCAGATAGGGAGAGGTCCCGTCTCCTGCAGGGTTGGGATAGGAGACGTTAATTTCCCACACACGAGATTGCTGTGTGATGGATGTCCTCCCCTAGGGTGGGATGGGTGGGTTAATAGAGGGCCACAGGATTATCAGTTTAACTACGGTCACATGCTACCCTCTTGAAACAAAATCTCTCTCTCCCTCTCTCTCTCTCTCTCACCTCTAGAAACCACCAGGCTTAAAGTTGAGGCCACCTCCTACATAACAATATGCTTACATAAATAGTGCTACAAGAGTGTGCCTTTGCCAGAAGTGCTTGTAACAAGAAGGGAATTTCAGATCTTTGGACCTTGGTAAAGAATTGTGATCAACCAAATAACCTAATCTCTGTTACACTGCAAGCTGCCTGTTGACAGGCATTGGCATATTTTATGATACATCAACCATTCAATCTACTTCGATCTCCTTTTTAGCAGACAAACATTCTCATTCTGGAAATAACTTGAAATGATTGCTTGGTGTTTTCTGCAGGTGTCCAGGGAAAGGCAGCTTATATTCAGTAACTACCCATAATTCAAGAAGATCTTCAAACCAGAGCAAACATTTCACGTTTAGAAATGCTTTCCAAGAGAAAGTAATTCCAAAAAATTCAGATTATTTTCTGCCTAAAAATTCCTAAACATCTCTGCCATTATTGTTCTCTACAAGGAAATTCAAGATTCAAATTCTTCAGACTAATACACAAACTTATATGACCAGAAAAGCCTGGCTTACAAAAAAAAAAAAATGACAGGGGGGGGTAAGTTTCTATAGAAACTGTGATGGGGAGTATAACAAGATAATTTGGTTTTAACAACTGAGTGGTTAATGTAAATTGGCCACTGTAAAAAGTTTCTGAAGCTGACATTTCAAGTGTCAGCCTTTCATCGGAGTGAATCACTCACTTACCATGTCAACCAAAGCAATGTAAATGAACATTCCTCCAGCAAGAGCATATATCCACTTGACCGCTGATGTTGCATAACCAAGTAAAAGTCCAATGACTAGTCCTAAATAGCATGTACATGCTGAAAGGAAGTTGAATCCCATGGCCATTTTGTAAGTCATACCAGCATTGAGAAGGACTGCAAAATCACCTAATAAAGAGATTTGAGAATAAGAGAAGCTGTTGGGGTAACATTTCAAGCAAAATCTCCTTTAAGTTAGCCTAAAATTTAAAACATGCCATAATCCTAAGGTAAAAGGATTGTAGCTGGTAATCAATTGCACAGTGTGATCATCAAGGTGAAGGAAACCCATCAATGGTGACTCTGATGATGTCATCAGCTCAGGTTGTTACAAATGTCAGTCACTGACTCTAACAGCAGTCCTTTTAAAGGTGACCTTAGTACTACCCAATATGGGGTTCCCAGCAAATTATGCAAATCTGGGGAAAAATTAAAAACCTCTTGCATTCGATAAAGGTCAGCTATGCAATCATCCCTCACTATTCTACAATTGAAAACCTTTTGAGCTTCACTTAAATGCAGGTTCTCATTGTGACTTTTCTTGCCAAGGATAACATTACAATGAAACAGTACTGAGAGCAGTTCATTGATTGACCTGCTAGGACAAACACAGGAAAAAAAAAGGACACACTACTACCTAGTTCATGAGGCAATTCCTCACAAAATATTGCCAGAGCTGTGCTGACGCCAACAAATGTTGAACTTGAGAAAGATGCCCCGATGGCCAAGCCATCAATAAAGTTGTGAAGTCCATCCCCTATGATAATCATCCATGCCACAGGAGCAATTTTCTTCTTTCCTGGTGATGACGTACCACTCCCTTCGAGAATCTGTATTATAAACAATATCACTTCAGTTTAAGAACTCCCATGTTTCCAGGAACACACCCAACCCCTGAAAGTACACTGCTTTAGTTTAAACTATGAGCAGTCCTTGCTCTTTGGTGAAGTCTCTCATACAGTCCAAACAATTCATTCAGAAAAAAAAATTTATAATAGCTCACTGTTCAGAAATCTGGAAGTAAAGCAAAGTAAAAGTTTTAGTTACAGAATAAGATCTTATCTTGACCTCCTAGAGTCTGCGTGATATATCTTTTCTTATCGTGTATTAATAATGGTAATCAGACTGAGTGGAGTCCAATTCAGTTTGCAATCACAAAAGTGATTAACAAATTGGACTGCTGTGAAGGCAGAGCCCAATTTGTTAAATATGAGTATGATTACAGAATGAATTGGATGACAGTCAAGAAGTCCTGTTACCAATTAATCAAAACTATGACAAAATTAGAGAAAGAAACTAGACATCAGTTATACATTTTCTTAAAGAAACAACAGTTTACCCAGCGAATTGTGTGGCAACAGTTCTCACATGACCAGTTCTGTCCACCTAAGCAGGCATGACATGTTAAATTTCCTATAGCTCTGTCCAATTACAAACATGATGTGCACATTGTCCTATTGGTGTTTTAATCAGGTGGTTTATGGTCAATTCGCCACCATAACAAACTCACCACCACTCAAGGTGAACTCACCACTGGTAGCAATTTGACTTAAACATTACGTGGAGCCTAGTATTGAAATGACCAATACTCATGATCTTAAAATAAGTGAGGAGAATTTGCTACCTTTCTATAATCAAGAAATGGACAGATATTCTAGTCTCGGATAAGGACAAGTATTAAAATGACCAATTAGTTTCAATTAATACTAATATTAATAATTATTAATATTAGCATTAAAATGACCAATACTCATGGTCTTAAAATAAGTGAGGAGAATTTGCTACCTTTCTATAATCAAGAAATGGATAGATATTCTAGTCTTCTCGGATAAGGACGAGTATTAAAATGACCAATTAGTATTAATTAATATTAATACTAATATTAATAATAATTAATATTAGTAACAAAATGACCAATACTCATGGTCTTAAAATGAGTGAGGAGAATTTGCTACCTTTCTCTAATCAAGAAATGGATAGATATTCTAGTCTTCTCGGATAAGGACAAGTATTAAAATGACCAATTAGTATTAATTAATATTAATACTAATATTAATAATAATTAATATTAGTAATAAAATGACCAATACTCATGGTCTTAAAATGAGTGAGGAGAATTTGCTACCTTTCTCTAATCAAGAAATGGATAGATATTCTAGTCTTCTCGGATAAGGACGAGTATTAAAATNACATGTATGTATGCATGTATGTATGTATGTATGTATGTAAAGACCCTCTTGTGTGAAACTTACATCAATAAACATGTTTTTTCTGTGAGATGCAAAAATGTGCCACTGCATAATTTAGCATTGTTTGATTAAAAAAAAAAATAAAACAATTAAGTCACTGCATAATTTTTGATTGTTTCAATTGGGAAGACATATCAAAAACTCGGCTTTCATGCTTCATCAAACACCATCTCTTTTCAGCAACTGAAACCTGTGAAATTACTTCTCAATTTCTGGTCTCTGCAGAACACAGTTTTTAACAATCCAGAGAAAGAGCATTTAAAGATAATACTTCATTCTGACAATGATATTGATCAAATCATTTAACAAATGCTGCCCTAAGAGGAAACATTGCCAACAAACTATTTATTGTTCTAATAAAATTCTAAGTTTGATCCATTTGCCCTTTAGGGACTTCTAGTGGATTCCAAGTTGCTTTCTACAGAATTTCGCTGTGTTTGCATGCACTCTTAATTTTGCATCATAAAAACTAAAAGATAAATAAACTTCAAGATCCAACCTTCCATATGAAATAAGTTTTATTAGATTGGATTGCAAATCATGTTCATTAGAACGAAACTTGTGTTAAAGCTCATGTTGACATTCTTTGTGCTTGAAACAAAAGGTTTACCAAACATAAAAAAGATGCCAAAGTCCATTTGTGTAAACTTCCCTGTATTTGTATGTGCTTTTAATTTGCAATATTCTTCAATTTCTGAGCCTCTATATGATGTAAGTTTCATACAATTTCATTTATATTGGCAGAAATCAGTTGGCTAAAATCACTTGGCAAATATCACACTAGTTTCGCTGTTCACAAGCTGATCATAATCCCCATGATATCAACATGTTTTATTTCATTCAACGTTCCATTTTTGAGACCGTACACATAACTTCTGAGTCCCTTTCCCTTTTTGCAGTATACTACTACACCTTGGCTTTCATTTGATGCCTGGATGTATATGAAATACGATTTTAGTAATAATGACAACAACAGTAAATGACAATTTAGGCACACAAAGATACCTTTTGAGAACTCTCTGAGGTGCCAATTAGTTTGGCACCATTTCCACAGACATGAACATCTGGTAACTGCTGGCTCAAGCACATGTTGTCATGAGCATGGTGACTACCTGAGTTGACATTGTAGAGTTGAAGTTGAACATCAGCGATTCCCGCACCAGGTAGTTCAGTCTTTGACGTTGCTGTTTTAGTTCCCTTAGAAATTAGAAAAGTATTCCATCTTAAAAATTTTGTAACAAATAAAATGTCCTTTTGCCAAAAGTTTTGTAGTACACTATAAGCAGCAGCATTCATCAAAGTAGCAACATCGCAAAACTAATTGGAAAGCATTCATTTGGTGTCTATTACATTATTTCAGGTTGCTAAATGGTAACTCAATTAAAAGACAATGGGCTTACAGTCCTGAAAAACTACAATCCTTAAGGGAAAAGCTGACGAGTACTTTGCTCAGTTAGTGTATTGGCAAATCCTAGACTACAAAAGTTACACCTAAACTATGTACATTCTTTTCACATTTACATTTTTTCACTTTTGTAAAACTTCTGTGTAGATCAGAACTTTAACTGGTAAAACTTAAAAAAACCCTATGGTCTCAGTCCCTTGGGTCTAACCTTTACCAATTTCCCAGAGGCATGATATACAGAGAACATATTTAAAAACCCAATGATCTATTCCAAACTAAAGCATTCACAGTCAGAAGTTAAAGACATGCAGATTAAAAAGAACTTCCAGAATATTTGTCAAGTTAATTATTCATCAATTAACATACCAGTCCTTCTTCACTTTCCCAAGATGATTTTTGCTTGAATCTGACAATCATTTTCATGATGTATTCCAACAAAAAAAATAAGTAGACACCAGAAGCAATCACCAAGCATTTCCATAAATGTGCAGTATCACCATCAGCGCCCAAGCCAAATGTCTGTCAGGAAAAAACATGCAATAAAATGAACACTTCTTGTTCAAATTATAGCAGTTTTTAAAAGGAATTTAAACCAGTTTTTACATGGTTGTCTTAGGCTAATTTTTATTTTCATAGCTTTTCGGTTGAGTCAGGAGACCCCCCTCCTGAAAACCACTTCTAGTGAAGAAGGCCTCCTATGAATGTTATCTGCAGTCATGTTTTAACTATTCATCTTCAACAATAAAGTAGGCAGAGTTACTACATTATAGGAGTTTCAAGGAGAATTAAGGCAAAATGATTTCTAATTTATTGTATTGCATTGAGGCATGACTAGTCCAGTGGCCAGTGTGCTGTCCTCTGGGTCAGATGGCCTGGGTTCAAGTCCTGGCTGGGGCTTGACGTTGTCTCCTTAAGCAAGACGCTTCACTCACATTGCTTCGTCTTCTCAGATAGGACGTAAAGCCAGAGGTCTCGTCTCCTGCATCTATCAGTTAGTTAATTTTGGCAGGGGACGTTAAAGAACCCACATCACGAGATTACTGTGATGTGGTCTGGCCTGGTTACTGGGAATGGGGGGGAGGGGGCATCCGTAAAATTGCTTCTTTATTTATTGTAAACTAGTACTGCCGCCAGCGGTCTGGAAAAGTCCCCTGCACAGTGTTGTAAAGTACATTAGAGCATTCCATGGAAATGCGCTATAGAAATCGATATATATCATTATTCTTATTCTTATTATTATTATTATTATTATTATTATCATTATTATTATTATTATTATTATTATTATTATTATTATTATTATTATTATTGCATTATAATAACACTGCATTTCACAAAACTTTTGACAAACTTGGGATTTTTTTTTCCTTGAACTAAATGGAATCAGTCTCAACAAACCTTGCAAATTCCCAGCTAAGTTTGGTATGAAATTCACTTTGCTTTGAAGTTTACAATTTGATTAACATCTCTGCAATGAAATTGCCAAGTTCATGGAAAACTTCTGGAATTTCAAACAAACTTTGGAAACCATTTATCAAACACACTATAAGACTGAATTAGATTATGCTTTATCACGAACACTTACGTGTGGAATAAGATGGAAGATTCCGCTACCGCTCAATACACCAACAGCAAGAGATACCATAAACAACAATAGAATCTTATAAAAGGATTGGTTCATAAATGGAACAACAAAGGCTCCAAGTAGAGAGGCACCACTGATTATGGTCACTGACAAGAACCCAAATCCCCAAGCTGAAAAAAAGAATTGTAGGTGAACATTAAACAAAATGTTAGACAATAGTTACAAAGATTAACTCTTAAACTTTTTCCTGTCAAGATGTTTTGCCTTTTTTTTAATCCTGCACAATAATTTGTTTAAATAGAATATTGCTATCAAGTTGTTTTGCCTTTTCTTGAATCCTGAACAGTAACTTGGTTAAATAGAACTGCATCCCTCAAATACATGTTGGTTTACAGACCCTGCTCTCTGTGGCTGAGTGAAGAAAAATTTCAGGACAATTTGTGGTTTAACAATTTCAGGGTCTTGTACAAGTTTTTCCTCTGAAAACTATCCATTTTCCCAACAGAAATACTTTTAGACTAAAAATGTAACAACTTGAAGAGTATGATACACACAACGTGACAGTAAAGACATCTCCATCTACATGTAATGGTTCTTAATTTTCAGTTTAACTGATTTTAAGCCCATTAAACTTATGTTCACTTTTGCCTCTGATAATCAGGAACTTTAGGGAAAAAGGGAAATTAAAAAATAAGTACGGTTTAATAGACAATGATCATTTTAGAAAAGACACTTACCTTGAGCTGGCCCTTGCTTCACCTCTTTTTTCTTTTCTTCATTTCCTTCTACTAGGCAAGCTTTGCTTTCAATTTGTTCCACTATTGCTGGACATATTCGTTCGAATTTACTTAGATTTAAGCCAGTGGACTCAATGTTGAAGATTTCAAACAATAATTTGGCTGAATAGCACTGGATAAAACAAAAATTAATCACAAAATGTCACAGTACAGTCACAATTAAATAAGTTTCAGAAAAGACAAAAACTGTTTACACTCTAGCTCTGGTAAGCATGTCAGACATTCTAACCACGGATGCAATTTTTTTTTTTTTCGGTGGGGGAGGGGAGACTCTCTATCCCTTAAAAGTGATTCATCATTATCTAAGCTGCAAAAAAAAAGAAGTTACAAAAGGGAAATCCTTTAATTTGTTCTGCTTCAAGGGTGGGTAAGGAAAGAAAGTAACCCTTGACTCCCATGGGTGACCAAGACAGAATTTCTCTTTATAATATCAAGACAATATCAAGCAGATAAGTTATAACAATAAGGAAAAATATCAATTAGGGGATTATCGTTTGATCCAATACCAACTTTTCCAAACTAACATGATATGGAGAATCACTAAATTTAAATGAGATCTGGGGGAGAAATGGTTCAGAAATACACCAAAGGCAACATTTCATAATTCTGATAACACTGATTAGAAAATTAATGACATTTTCCAATAAAATTTTTTCATGCAATTATATTTTACATTTTCCATACTTTTGATACAACAATGTAAATACGTAACATGACATTAGGGAAGCAAGGACGCTGCACAACTTTAATTCCTGTTTTCTGTTAATTCTTATCCTTGCTCTAAGGGTTTTCCTCTCAGTTCTCCACTCTTCCCCTTGCAAAAATCATAAATTAAAATGAAACTAACATTAAAAGAATTAATCCTTTATACATGTCTACATGTTTGAGAAAATACAATTCTAAATGTTCAGGTTTTGAATTAGAAACAAAATATTCACTGATCAATCATAAGACCAAATGCTATTTGATATAGGAAAGCTCAAAAAAGATATACAATGGAAAAGTGAAATCCAGTAAGCATTTTCACATGCCCAAGACTGTCTTTTTCTGGACAATCATGTGATAAACATGAACAATTAATAAACAAGTAAAAATCCTTTGGCAATGATAAGCACATACATGCACAAGTTTGGTGTCTTCGGCACATGACTTAAGGAATAACTCTTTGAGAAAGTCATATGAGATAATCTTCTTTTCATAATATATAACTTTTCCAGTTTAGTGTGCAGTCTTTAATTCAAAGTGAATTAAAAAAAAAATCAACATCTGCAGTAAAAATACTATTATTATAAGAATAAGTTGGTCTCTTCAGCACATGACTCAAGGAATTCAACCTCAAGAAAGTCATTCAAACCAATTGTCGCCTCGCATAAGATATCACCAATTACCATTTAACTACTATGAATGACCCAGGCAGAGTTTCTCCTTACAATAGCAATACAATATCAAGCAAAAAGGTGATGGGAATAAAATAAAAGATCAATTAGGTGATACAACACCAAATTCTCTAAACTCACATCATAAGATTTGTATGACAGACAGTAAAGAGAATTATGAGTGAAAGGGTACAGTGTACAGTATCTAAATTTAAACATTAACAATCAACAACCACCACATAAATTCAAATTCAAAAACAAATTATCAGCATAATCAGGGCATGACCTTTACAATTACACTTCAAGGTAGTCATATGAGTCATTTACCACCTAAAGGCCCATTTAAACGGTTTCAACATTTAACCCACATTCGTTCAACAAAAGTTGAACGAATGTTGGGCAAATGTTGGACGCAAAAACAAAGTTGTTCGGAGGTAGTCATACGAGTCATTTACCACCTAAAGGCCCGTTTAAACAGTTTCAACATTTAACCCACATTCGTTCAACAAAAGTTGAATGAATGTTGGGCAAATGCTGGATGCAAAAACAAAGTTGTTCGGAGGCCTTTCAAAGACCTCACAAAGGCCTTACAAAGGAAAAGTTGAATCGATGTTGAATGAAAGTTTAAACCTATGCAAACTTGATTCAACACCCTTTCAATTAGCTTTCAACATTTTAAGTTTTCAACAATGTTGGATGACCTGTTTAAATGCACCGTACATTTGTTTCAACAAAGTGTTGAATGCATGTTGAAGCAAATGTTGAAACCCCTTAAATGGGCCTTAATGTTAGTGTGAGGTTCCAATATCCATTTAAACTTTTCCAACTCAAAACCACCTCAAAATAAATAAACTAAATAAATGTATTTAAAATCAGACTACATGTAAATTTGCAGCGCTCGTGATTTCAAGTTTGCGGCTTTTCAAGTGATACTCATCACATACCGGAACAAAGCAGTTTCCCAAATTCAAGAGTACTAATTAATGCACTAGCCAAAATGTCACGTCATCTGAAAGCACGACTTATCTTTCAACTGCTGTATCTAAACCCCAACATGTTAACAAATGTATGAAAGGAAGATTAGCGTACAGTGCAAGGAGAGAAACATGGAGGCACCTTAACATCCCTTCAATGGTCTAGAAATCCTTTGTAACCTCAGTTGCCACGTGTAAATGCATTGATACACTCTTAAAGATAAAAAGCAAGCCCGCATGATAAACTATTAGGAACTACTTCACCCTAAAAGTTAAATTTCGATTAAGTACCACATTTCGCATCTAGTGTGTAAAATTTGCATTTTTTTTTTACCGGGAGAACTGCTTAAAATGACTTCATAGTATCGTAAGTTCTTATATTCTTACGACCTATAGCTGCTACCCTCGTGAGTTGTTTGGACATAAACTATGGAACACAAAAACGTCTTTCTTTTAAAATAATAAACTCATTATAAATAGCTAAGGCAAGTTACGCTATCTCGTTTTGCAAGGTTAGTTTCCTGAAAACAACAACTTCCTTACAATCTAATATTTTATTTGATCCCAAAGAAATTATCGCTCTAATCGCAGAGTTCAATTGTTGGATCATTGGAGAGGATTTCATCGTCAGAGTAAATTGGTAAAGTTTATACCACATCCGAAGGATACAAGTCACCACCAATACATTTCAAAGCTTAAGTATTGGTTATTAAGAAAATCACCGGCCGCAAGTTGTCATGATCGTTGTAGCTTCGATCTTGGAAAAGGAAGGCCTACCTTGGAATGTCCACTTTTCACTCCATTCTCTTCAGCCATTCCAGCTGAACTTGTCGTTTCTCTTGTGACAGAACCAAGTTTAAGTACTTTCAACAAAGAGCTGAACTCTTCTTGGGTCATCACCGATTTATTCTTTCCATAAGTTTCGAACAAACTCTCAACAAAAGATCGTGGATCCGGTGAATTGATGCTTCGAGCGTCCTCATGCGAAAGAACGTGAGAATCTGTTCTTGGAATCGAAGACAAAATTGATAAAAAGGTTATAAATTGGTAAACTATGATTGAATCCATTGGGAAGCAGTGCGACCGGGAACAGATGCAGTCAAATATTTCTTATGATCAAATATTTTTCCTGCACATGCAAGTCATACACGTCCACGTGAAGTAGCTCAGAGCTTGCACGCAGGTAGTTGACTTAGGCAGGTCACGAAGAACCTTCCTTGGTATCCAAGCCTTTTCATTAGATCTCATTCCCACGGACTAAACGCAAATGTTCCTTCAAGTGTGTGTATGTGTGTGAGTGTGTGAGTGTGTGTGTGTGTGTGTGTGTGTGTGTGTGTGTGTGTGTGTGTGTGCGTGCGTGCGTGTGTCTGGGGGAATCTTCTTCGGGTTATTGAATAGGAAATTATGGTTCATTAGCCATTCTGTTCATAAATGCAAAAACACGGAGGAACAACCTCGGAAAGATAATTTCCTATGTAGGGAGAAGTGGCATTGGAATTTTAACCTTGCATGAAGCAGGCCAGTAGATGCGCGACCCGTTTTTCTCCCCACTGAGCGAAACTGTTGCACTTTTTAAGTCAGGAAGAGAATATAAAGCTTTTAGTTTTTGGAGGTGTTATTTCCATCCAAAGGCATTGAAGATCCGGTTGGTTATTCTCAAACTCTTGAATAACCTTGTAATCGAGGTTTGAGGAAACGTAAATGAGAACAGCACCTTTCCGGCGGAGGACCAGATTGGGACCGTGGCTTTACATCCTTATCATTAATGACCTAGATGTCAATGGAGTTAGCCTTTGGAAATACTTGATGATCTCACAGTAGCTGAAATTGTCCAGAATGGAGTTGCGGGTACGTGAAATGCAGCCATTGACTCGAATCCACGAATTTAAAGTTCACCTTCAACGAAGATAACTGTAAAGAAATGCGCATATCTTTCTCCAGGTCCGAATCGCGAAGCGCACCTCTAATGAGTAATGGTAAAGAACTCGAAGTCGTCAGACAAGCTAAAGTCCTTGGCATAATCATCAGCAATGACCTTAAGTGGAACTGCTAAGTGAATTATATAATTAAAAAAGCATCAAAACGTATGTATTTTCTGAGACAACTCAAACGCGCCGTAAAGTGCCTGTTGCGGATATGGTGAAGCTCTACTCTTCATGCACACGTAGTGTCGTCGGATACGGTTTACCCGTATTTCACTACGCTTTACCATCATATCACATCTTAGCGACGAAATCGAAACAATTCAGAAGCGGGCCCTGTCTATCATTTATGGTCCTGGTCTATCATACACCAGCTGATGATTGGAAGTTTCCAACTTAACATCTCTTGCTAACCGTCAACTTTTATGTGAGAAACTGTTTGTAAACATAGTAAACGACCCAAACCACAAGTTATACAAACTGCTTCCAGCTTTCAACATTAATTAACGCAAAGTACCCATTAAAAAATACCACTCTTCATCGAACCCCGCTATCGTATTCGTACCGATCGTTTGAAAAAAAAATCCTTCATTATGGCTTCAATAACAAATTTTTAATTTTCATTGGATATTTCATAGCAATACCAGTGTAATTCGATCTAACGACTGCGACATTGGTATTTCAATAAACTAAGATTTTTTTTTCAATGAATAAAATCAGATCCTTATGTTTGCGCAAAGCTTTCTGGCATCACCAGGGGCGGAGGGGGGGTTACAAGCTGACAAGCTGCTGGAGGGAAATATATGGCAAAGGTTGTTTCAGCCTTCAAATAAACAATTTCTTTGTTCCGTGATGAAAGGCTATTTCAAAGTCAAAATAAACGATTTATTTGCCCAGTGATGATCCTAGAAGTCTCTGCGCAAACACAAGGATCCGATCGCTGACAAAATATTCAATGAAAAGTCTGATCTGCATTCGTTCAAAGGTTGTGCAAGTATTTAACCGCTGTCTCAATTTTTGTCAATTCATTATTTCTCAGTCTAATGGATCACGAAAAATACCGTTTTTCAAGTGTAAAAGTCATTAAATATATCATGAATTGTGACTATTGGCGTTGTCAGTCGGGATCCTAACCTTAGCCCAAAAGGATAAAAAATAGAAAACTAAATTAATACTAATCTTAGAGGGAATTCATCCCGACGCTAATAAACATTTTCGAAGCGAAGGAAAGGTTCTTCTTCAGTAACGGAGAAAATAAAGCAAGGGTGTTTTTCAGCTCCCTTCCACGCGCGTGACTCGTACATGACCCTTGCCTCTCGATTACCTTCGTTCGAATGAAGTCGCAGAAAAATTACGCCCCTTCTGCAGGCGAGGAAACACAAAACATTTTTCAACTTTAAATACATAACTCCAGAACGGGACTGTCCCAAAACATATGTGTTAAGGACAGAAATCTCTTCTGTTACAATGAGTCAAATGGGCGCGTTTTCCTTTAAAAACTGACAAAAATATTCTGGAGTGTAGGGAGAGTCTGGGTGATACTGAATGCATGATTTAAAGATATTTTCATCTTTTAAGTCGTCTTTACGTCCTTACGTCTGTCGCACAAAAACGATCTTTGAAATATTAGCAGTGCAAAGAAAAAAATTATCATCAGCTCTTTTACTTTACGCGCGACCTTAAGCCGAGATTGATTAGAACTAAAACATTAGAAGTATGCCGGTAAACTATGACATGTTAACGAGTGATGGTAACTCTAGCTCTTTTAAGTAAAAATCTCTGGCAATTTTACACTCAAGTCAATCATTGTTATATTCTGAAAATGTTTGTGCCTTGCTCGTACAAAAACAAAGTTAAATCTCTTATATTTTAAATAGAAAAGGTTATCATTAAATGATGTCTTTCCTTCCCCAACTTGTAGAAAGCCTCCCACCACACCAGATAAAATAAGTAACTTTTTTATATGGATGATATTTCTGGAGGCTACCGACCGAGTATCGTGGCTTTTGCTGAAAAATTGTAGAATCTGTGGAATTCTTTTCACAAAATCGCTACACAACTGCATAATAATAATAATAATAATTATAATATAATAATAAACAGTTTAACGTGGAGAAACACTTAGCTAGAAGCTAGTTTACAGGTTTTCCACGAAACAACTTAAACAAACAATTCAAATTGAAAATAACGTTGTTAAGAATCCCAACTGGCCGAAGCAAAACAGTTGGCTATATTACAAGCACGGCCGAGGATTTGAAACTCGGGGCTACCGTGAAACAAATCCAAGTAGTGGCCAGCACGTGACTCGAACCCGGGAGCGACGAATAGCAAGTCCGACACGCTGACCACTCGACCATGCTGCCTTCTGACTGCATGCAGACATGCATACAAACATACAAACATTTTGAGATGCCTTCCTGCAGAACTTTTAAGTTTAAAGGCCTTAAAGGTCGTGTATCACACCGAAACAGAAATGCAACTTTAAGTACATAAACAACTTGATCAGCAAACGTTGTTATGCAAACAATAGCCTCCATTTGGAGCGATCATATGAAGGATAAATGGCCGCCAACATTATCTGTTCCGAGATGCAAACAGTTTTCAAAGATCGAAGCTCGAGGAAAACCTTGGGCTTCGCTAAAACTAAATTAGGTAATTGACAAAACAAGGTTAAAATGAATAAAAATGATAAAATGGTACTGGGATGAGCAGCAAAAGTCACACAACGCTGATCACAATCATTCTTTCTGTCAGTCATTGTTTCTACCTCTCACTTGTTAATTGAACCTGGTGTTACTTGTAACGAAGAAGAACCTGAGGCAGTGCTTGTTTCACGATAGATTCCACCTTGTTCTTGTCACCCAATGGATTGTGATCTAGCAACAGGTACCTCAGATTAGAAATGGATTTCAAACTACACACTAAACCTCGCAAGTCACGTTCATCCATATTTGAATGACTAAGATCTACGAAACACAAGCTGGGAAAGAAGGGAAAGCGCTCAGTCAGTGAAGCGAGGCAACCTCTGAGGCTGAAAAACGAGAACACGAGACGCTCTAAAGACGGAAATGTTTTGTTAAATCCTCCAAAAAGTGCCTTCATGTCCTCCACTTGTACAGTGCTCCCCTTCCTCCCTTCTAGACAGAATTCCTTTAGAGACGACATTTCAGGAAGTGACCGACCGAGTGTCGCAGCTGTTGCTGGAGTCAATCTAAAGTCCAACAGTCTCAGTTCCTCAAGAGTCTTGTGTGTGATGCTAGAAACCAGTTTGTTTTCTGCTTCAGGTCAGCAGTCACCCAAGTTAAGGCCAAATTTGGTGAGGTTGTTGAACCGTGGTAACAAACCAGCGAGCTTCAATACTTCAGATGATGTAAGCGAACCGCCAACACTTCGAAGCTGCAACCAACACGTACGAGGATTCGGTATTTGTTCCAGGCATTCCAAAGCACTCTCATACAACTGCTCCATTCTAATGCTTCGGAAACTCTTACAACCTCTAATTATTGTACGAAAACTGCGTACTGTCTCCTCGTTAACACGTAAACCAATGTATAGAGATCTAAGGAATTTTAGAGATGACGGCTCTGGACACAAACTTGGGGAATAAGATGGAGTAAAATTCTCAGCGAACAGTTTGGCATGGTCATCGCACCACAGTTTCAGTTTAGTGAAGTAAAACAGTGACTGACCACTGTAGAAATGAAGGATGCAACAAAATCCACAGCGGAGGATGTCACATTTGGATGCTTCGAATTTCTTTAAAAGTTCTTCAACTGAAATAGCCGCCGAATTCTCAGTTGTTTTAAGGGGAATATGTAAGCAATCGAGAAACTCAAGACACTCGTATAGCGCTGTCATTTCTTCATAAACCCAGGAACCATAGAACACCACACCACAAACTGAAACTTTATCTAAAATTTTCCGTTCTGGCACAATGTCAGAAATTGATCTTCCGGCATACGGCGAAAGAAAAATGATTCCCTCGGTCCAATTTAAACAATGTCTAAAAAGTATAGTTTTTGATTCAACTTCATTAAAGGAATCGTAGACAAGGTTAATGAACATCCAGTGCTTGTAAGTGACGTTACATGGTGTGACGTCTTTCTCGCTTTGTTCATCAGGTATTGTCTTAGACAAATCCAGTTCTGAGTCACAGACTCTAACTGATGTCAAGTGTTCAAAAACTTTCACTGATCCACCATCTGACAAACCGCAAGTAAATTTAAAGACATTTTCTAAGGACCTGCACTTGTCCAAGGTTCGAGCGCGG